TAGTCTCACCTGTCAGCGTACATGTTACTGTTTACTTCTGCATGAATATTATTTCATTATGAATTCATTATAAATATTATTTCGGAGTTTATAACAAAAACTTACGCGACGCAAACGTTTATAAACTGGTCCCTATCTCGAAATGTATAATTCTATCTCCAAAGGTAACATAGTGTATAGAGACAGGGTACAACCGGTCGATGGCATCTCGCGAAAGCGAAAATCACGTGCTAGTTTAGTTGACATATGTAAACAATGCTAATTTAAAATGCAGATCGGTCCACATACTGTTGAAAAGAATGTTGTGGGAGTGTTCGATGACATGCTAGTTTTACTATATGCTAGTTTTACTACCCTGGTCTACCCAACCCGTGCACTCTCTCAGACTAGTCTCACTACTCTGGTCTACCCCCTTGCACTCTCTCAGACTAGCCTTACTACCATGGTCCACCACCTTGCACTCTCTCAGACTAGCCACACTACCATGGTCCACCCCTTGCACTCTCTCAGGCTAACCATACTACCATGGTCCACCCCTTTGCCCTCTTTCAGACTAGCCTCACTACGCTGGTCCACCCCCTCGCACTCTCTCAGACTAGCCTCACTACCATGGTCCACCCCTTTGCCCTCTCTCAGACTAGCCTCACTACGCTGGTCCACCCCCTCGCACTCTCTCAGACTAGCCTCACTACGCTGGTCCACCCCTTTGCACTCTCTCAGACTAGCCTCACTATCATGGTCCACCCCCTTGCACTCTCTCAGACTAACCTTACTACCATGGACCACCCCTTGCACTCTCTCAGACTAGCCTCACTACCTTGGTCTACCCCTTTGCACTCTCTCAGACTAGCCTTACTACCCTGATCTACTCCTTTGCACTCTCTCAGACTAACCTTACTACCATGGTCCACCCCCTTGCACTCTCTCAGACTAACCTTACTACCATGGTCCACCCCCTTGCACTCTCTCAGACTAGCCTTACTACCATGGTCCACCCCCTTGCACTCTCGCGGTCTAGCCTCACTACACAGGTCCGCCCCCTCGCTCTGTGTCTCGGCTACAAGCCTTCTAGCTCTTACAGCGGATTAGCGCGACCCGCCATTCTGCGCGCGTTGTGCAGAGTTTGCGAGAAGAGAGGCATTAGACACGAGAGCCACTTTAAGTCTTCGATTGTGCTGATATTTAGCACTGCTGTTTGCCTAATTGGATACGGTATTAAATAATGGAGTCGAGCGGCAAGCGGCAGACGCACTCAATAGTGACGCGCGGTAAATCTACGGATAGCAGCGGCAGGCACGCACACGCCGTGCTAACATAAAGGCCCAACACCACACGCACATACATACAGATATGCGTTCTCTCTCTCTCTCTCTCTCTCTCTCGCTCGCTCGCTCGTTCTCTTTCTCTCTCTGTCTCTCTCTCTCTCTCTCTCTCTCGTATGTATTCTCACTCTCTTTCTCTTTCTCTTCCTCGCGATCTCTCCCGATCGCTAGCTCTCGCTCTTACAACTTCTCTGTTAATCTGATTCCCGCTTTCTCTTTCTATCTTTCTCTCCCCACCTCTGGCTTTCTTTGGCTCCCTCTCCCATTCTCGCCGTCCCTCCAACGCTCTCTCCCACATTCTCCCGCTCCCCCTCTTTCTGTCTCTCAATCGCGCTCTCTTTCTCTGCCTCTATCTCTTTCTCGTATGTATTCACACTCGCTTCCCCTCTCATACTCGCTCCATCCCCCTTCATCTCTCTCGCTCGCTCACGCGCGCAGCGGCAGCAGCAGCATCTATAACGCTTTAATGAATAGATTAGCGAACGCGCACAGTGGACTGCGCTGATGAAATGGTCAATTTGCAATAATGGATTCCTCGCCGGATCAGATTATTGGACGGCGCGCTGCATCGGCGAGAGACCGAGCGCGCGCTCCGCCTCTTCAATTGCGTGAAGTCGCTGACTCGTCTGCTAGCTGCTCATATCACGCGCGCATTAGCACATCGATCTACACAACAGAGAGAGAGAGAGAGAGAGAGAGAGAGAGAGAGAGAGAGAGAGAGAGAGAGAGAGAGAGAGAGAGAGAGAGAGAGAGAGAGAGAGAGAGCAGAGAGATGGAGGGGGAGTAGAGGGTAGAGGCGAGGGAGAG